ACTTTAATCCAAAATGCTCTATTCCCAGATCACAAATTAAATTTTGTTTTTTCAAATTTGGCTCAAAATGTTAATATCACATAGATCCTCAAAACTGCCTTTTCTGGGTTTATTTACCAGGGTACTTTCCTCTGATTAAAAACTACAGAGAAAAGTCTGCCCTTAGAAAATCACATGATATCTTTGATCTATAAAGAAATGCTCATTCATTTCTGAATCCCTCTTGTGCCCAGTTTAGTGCCTTAATATGTATTTCACTGATTGATAACCTAAATCTGCAAGGAGACCCAAAGTAAGAAAAGTGAAGAAGCTAAAAAGAGAAGTCTAGAACACCTGGTTTCTAGTATCAGTTCTTCACATTCAATTCAATTATAAAAAGATTTATTCAGCTTCTTGTATATGCAAGGAATTGTAGTAAATATTTAGGTGCAAATAAAGAGTTCAGCTTCTAAAAAATGCATAGCTGCAGTTTGGTAATGTGCATATATACACGATGTAATGTTATAGCTACAAATTATAGCTAGCAGAGAAGAAAAATTAGCAAGTTTGTAAATAATCATTTTAGATATACTTTAACTTCTAAAGCTATTTACCTAAGATCCTGCCTTTATTATATGCCATGAGTGACTTCATATGGCCTCAAGTTTGCATTTCAGTTTGAAAGGCGAGCCTCCCTAAAACTTTCACATGCTAACAGCTGTAATTAAGGTAGAAGGCCTTATTTAAAAAGTAATTAGCCTTCAGGACTTAAGTGTAAACAGAACGCTAATTCATTTAGATAGTTAATTGGTCTTCTGGGTAAGAGGTCTTAGCATGGCCTTCCTCTTTTAGCTATCCTGTATTTNTGTTTGGTATTTCTGAAGATAAAAGATGACGTAAGAGACTTGCATGAGACAATTATATGGGAAAAAAAAATTAAATAATTTTGAATGTTCTGAAAATAGTAAAAGAAGCAATGTAATGGGAAGAAAATGATAATCAAGGAAGGACCTCAGGTAAAGTTTAATATTTGAAACAGCTTGCTTTATTTTTTTTTCTTCATTCTGGAAAACATTGTTTTGAATTGCTGAAGGAGAATGAATCTTTACAGATTGATAATTTGTTTAAAAATTTGCTTATTTTGCACCTCATGAAATAAACTATAGTAATTAGCTTTAATCCAAAATGCTCTATTCCCAGATCACAAATTAAATTTTGTTTTTTCAAATTTGGCTCAAAATGTTAATATCACATAGATCCTCAAAACTGCCTTTTCTGGGTTTATTTACCAGGGTACTTTCCTCTGATTAAAAACTACAGAGAAAAGTCTGCGATATCCCTCTTGTGCCCAGTTTAGTGCCTTAATATGTATTTCACTGATTGATAACCTAAATCTGCAAGGAGACCCAAAGTAAGAAAAGTGAAGAAGCTAAAAAGAGAAGTCTAGAACACCTGGTTTCTAGTATCAGTTCTTCACATTCAATTCAATTATAAAAAAATTTATTCAGCTTCTTGTATATGCAAGGAATTGTAGTAAATATTTAGGTGCAAATAAAGAGTTCAGCTTCTAAAGAATGCATAGCTGCAGTTTGGTAATGTGCATATATACACGATGTAATGTTATAGCTACAAATTATAGCTAGCAGAGAAGAAAAATTAGCAAGTTTGTAAATAATCATTTTAGATATACTTTAACTTCTAAAGCTATTTACCTAAGATCCTGCCTTTATTATATGCCATGAGTGACTTCATATGGCCTCAAGTTTGCATTTCAGTTTGAAAGGCGAGCCTCCCTAAAACTTTCACATGCTAACAGCTGTAATTAAGGTAGAAGGCCTTATTTAAAAAGTAATTAGCCTTCAGGACTTAAGTGTAAACAGAACGCTAATTCATTTAGATAGTTAATTGGTCTTCTGGGTAAGAGGTCTTAGCATGGCCTTCCTCTTTTAGCTATCCTGTATTTATATGTTGAGTACAGTGTGTTGACTCAGTGGGATGAGGTTTTGCAAACTCTTGCTGACTCAAGAATTTTAGCTTTTAATTCTCTAGTAAAAACCAATGCAAATAAATCTGAAAACATGAGAATATCAAGTAAAAATCTATGGTGAAATCATAACATTTGACTTTTTCTTTGTAATTATGGGGATCATATTACCTGGTTCATTCATGTTATTCTGACATAATTATTGATAGCACCCCCTTTCACACTAAGGAGTATTTTGATTTGGAGATAAATTATGTGGTCATCCTAATCATAATCAAAAATGACACAACAAATATTGATTGCTGTAACTAAAGGTGTGGATAAGATTGGTTTCATTTTCCAGTGATCCCAATGACAAATGTCAAGAAACTTCTCCTTACTGCCATAAAGATAGTTAATAGTGGATGACATTAAGTTTAAAAGTCATTTTTAATAAAAGGATTACTGCTATACCAGGAATTTTGTCATTGCCTTTGCCAAGTTTCCTCATCTGCCAATCACTTTTGCTCAAAAAAAAAAAAAAATATTGGGTTTGATAGCTGCCTGTCTTTGTGTTGCTGTGGTTCCTGTCTTATAGATAAGTTGCATGGGAGGCGTGTCTGATGTTGTTTTGAATTCCTTAATGGTTCTTCTGTTTGGTTCCTCCAGTTCTTCACACTGTGCAATGGAAGTTAGGCTTGCTGCTAGCCATTTTTCCCACATGTGCACCTAAACAGTCCTGTTTAAGTAGGACATATCACACTAATTTAACAAATATGGGACGAATGCAGTGGCTGGCACATAGGAGCCATTCACAAATATTTATCGAAGGAACAAATACCAACCCTGCCTTTGATTGTGTGTGGGTGCTACCAGCTAGGAAGAGGAAGAGAAGAGAAAACTCTCTCTGATATCAGGTAGATTTTGCCCTTAAGGGGTTAACAGTCTCCAAGGGGAAGATGTAAATAAATAACCATAACTGAAAGTCAGAATCATTAAGTGCCAAAAGAATCTCTAAGCATGAGTGGGAGGTCCAGCTCCCTGAGGCTGGGGAGGGGACATAGGGAAAGTTTGAAGAAAGGACGACTTTTGAATTGAGCATTTCCCCCCAGTTCAGGGTTAACTCTGGCCCCCATTGAGTCCCGTGAATGTGGAAGGACCCTCTTTCTCTCAGTCGCTGAAATTGTGCACACGCTTTTTTTTTTTTTGGCTGGCTAACAACTTTCCCCTCACGGTTAATGACTAATCCAAAAGGGCATTAGCTCACTTCGCAAATATGAGTATTATAATATAGCAAAACGTGACTCTAAAAGCTACCAATCTATTATGATTCATTTTAGTTACGAAGTTGAAATACGGCAGTCGCATTAAAAGAGAAGTGAGTTCATTGCCACCATTTCATCCAAAGCATAAATAAAATAAAATCGTTCTACTTTAAGAAACTTAAAGTGAACATGGCTTAGTGGCTGAGCAATCTCGTGATACAAAGCATTTAACATGAACAGAACATGCAGATCCTACTTTTTTTTTTTTTTAGTGTATCGTTGCTCACACCGAGACAGACTGTTCTGCTACCAATAGCACCGGGGCCTCCCACGAGCCGACGGGCTCTGCAGGACGCACGCACGACCTACAACCCGCCCCCTGAAAAGGAAAGTGGGGCCGGGAAGCGGGGCGGGGGGGATGCGACAAGGGCTGCAAGAGGGAAAGTAACCGGAGCTGGCCGTTCCGGGGGACCCGCCCC